AAGGGGAACCCAATGTCACAAAGCATAGGTACAATTCCTGCCTATCTGAAGCATTGGCTCGGTCTCACATAGCCTTCAAGTCATGCTTTAACATAGTTGATATACTGATTGATGCAACTATACAAACATGTCTAAGGACCAAAGGCCACACAACACTGACATAGCTAACCCACTCCTTGCGAGTGTTTGAGCCTCATGCCTTAGTTAGCTTCTGAAGTGCCTCTTGCATTGACAATCCTCCACTAGGGTAACTAAGGTAACCTGGCTATACCCTAGCATAGTTGGACTCACTAAAGCGAGGTTATCCTCGTACTAACTACTATCTCTCTCGTTCACTCATCTAGAACGTTATATACAAAGGCTGATTAGTATGCTACTACTGTTATTTATTAGGTTGCTCTATTCTCATCGTTCGTTATGCAAGGGTGTTTTAGTTAATTTTTATTTCTAATGAAGTCTCTACGTGTTTCAGGGTTATACAATGATTACTGAGTTTGCTGCTCTTTGGATTTACTATTCACTAGCCCGATACTTGACTCAGTTTCAACTCTGACTAGCAACACTCTATTCGCTCTTGCTACGCTTTCTTTTAATTCACCTTTGAGTTAGAGGGACTATTGTACGTCCACCATTCACTAACATTCTAATAGTACATGATTCTTATATTTCTTAGTCTAATTAATTTATCATACTGCTTGTCCGTATGTCCTCTATAATGATCCTTCATTCTTAGTTACTCACTCTGAGGCCTATAAGGGTAAATTGATAATTTTAACCCCAAGGGATTTTTAGTTATTTTCTTATTACCGAGATAGATGTGCGATCTTAAATGATATTAAACCCCTCGCTCTTGATTCTTTTTGACATCTTGAAATCACTCAACCGCTTTGGGTATTGACATCAAGCCTTAGGCATGGATACTCAATCTTCGGTATGGATACTAGTCCTGCGGTATGGAGACTAATCCTTCGGTATGGAGACCAGTCAGTCTCAAGACCGAGCATATGGTATCGATACTAAAACCTCAGTATCGATACCAAGCGATCAATATCAATACTCTTTCCTCAGTATCAATACTCCCTGCCTGAAATCCCTAATTTTTGCCCCGATTCATCTAATATCGATACTTGAGTCTCGAGAAAACACCCAAAAATCATCCCAAAGGAAATATTTTGGTTTTTAATTATGTGCTAAAGCTTTAGGGAGTTAACTAAGGTCTTAAAGTGGAGTAAAAATGTATTTTAAACCTTTAAAACGTCATTTGATCATAAAATCAAATATAAACCCTAAAATACTTAAGTACTTTAATCTTAGCAAAATGTTTAAATTTATAAAATATTAACACTCCAAAGGAGAAATACACTACCTTGATGTTTGAATCCTAAAATAGAGCCCTTTTAACTAGAATCACCTTTCTCAAGGCTTGGACGATGAAAACCCCTCTTTTTCTTACAAAAATAAAACCCAAAGCTCGAATCTTCAAAAATGAGGTTCTTGGGAGGTTTATTAGGACAAAAATGAAGTATAAAAGAGCTCAATATCTTACCTTGCTATGGAACTTGGAGAGGGAAGGAAGAAGAGAAAGGAATATGATGGAAAGTAAATGGGAGAAACCCCATGTCCAAAATGGTATAAAACTCCAAATTTTAGCTTCAATCTCCATCAATGGTCTAATTGTTCTTTTGGTCCTTTGTATTTTGTCCCTTATTTAAAAATTCCCTTTTTAGGGCTAATTGGACCCCAAAATCAACCTAATTAAGCCCAATAACTTAAATTATAAATTTTATGATGTCTACTTACCTCTCGGATAAACCCGAAACTACTAGCCTGAAATTTGAGGTGTTACAACTCTACCCTCCTTAAAATAAATTTCATCCTCAAAATTTACTCAGTCCAAACAACGACTTATTGTTAAGCCAAACACTTAAGAACCTTAAAGTGCCTAAACTTATATCAACACTAATATTGAAGAAATAAGTTCTTAAAACTAACATACGACTTGATTTTCACAAATTTTATGAGGGCACTACCAACGCTGAACTTCAACCACAAACCTTCAAGAAGTACAAAGCTAAAGATATCACATTATTTCTATATGACATTACTATTGCTAAAACTCTTTTCTAGTTAACCTTACTCAATTGAGTTAACTCACTGTATAACCTAATAACCTCTTTTAATTGTTGAACATAGGTAACTCATCATACCACACCATGAGATCTTACGGCACTAGCCAACACTATCTCCTTAACGACTACTAAAGAGGTGATGATAGTTCTTGACTCCTAATATTTTTCTTCTTAATTTGCTTGCTTTTGCTGCAGGGAAGAACTTGTTAAGAAAAAATGAGTCATATCAGCCTTTGTATTAACATAATTAAGAGGTAAATAAAATAATAATCCTTAGTCGAGTCAGCTAAAGAAAAAAAGAAAAGTGCGGAGTTTAATTTGATCATCATATACTCCTTATGGTTTCATGCTAGAGTAAACCAGATGAAATTCAGTAAGATGCTTGTGAGGAATTTCGCTGGGAAATCCATGGTAAATAGGTAGAAGATGGATAAAACTCATTTTTGTTCTCAAACGGTGTCTCTCTGTGAGGGAATACAATGCATAATGGTTGTTGTTCGGTAGGTACCATAATTAATTCTCGAATTATCTGTTCAACCATCGATATTAGTTCTTCAAAGTATTCTTCGGGTTCGGAGAAGGTTTCGACGTCAAAGGATGTCTTCATATTAGGTTCTGGATTTGATTCAGATTGTTGTTGTTCTTGTGGTTGATGTCATCTTTCTTGTAGTGTTCGTGCACAAATTTTTTAGGCTAATACTTCAATCTCATGTATCCAATCTACTAGTTCGCTTGGATTTTTCCCAGCCATCAATCAAAATAAACTTTAATTAGTAATTTTTCCATGATCCTAAAAAATGGTTCCAATTTGACAAGCATCATAATTGTCTGATAAATAAGCCCTTTTCTTATATAAGTGAGCTATAAACATAGAGTATGGAAGAATTGGTCGGTCTACGAGGATTCATAAATTTCTAATTTAGATTTGATTTGATGCTAACCAAGAAATATGTAAAACAAAAGAATTAAAAAGAGAGGGTTTTAAATAATCAAGCGACTAAATAAATAAAACTAAAATGAAAGTGATAACTCTCCAAAACAGTTATCTTTAGCAGCCTTTTTCACCTACGTCTAGTTTGAACTTGAGCATTTTTAGAAGCATTTTAATATTATTTTTGCTTAATTTTATACATTTTTCATATTAGGAACTTTGTGGGTTGTTAAGGGCTAAATTTGATTTTTACTATTGTAAACTGCTACACTGATGTCGTAGCATTGCAGGAAATGCTGAGCAGATGTTGCAACAGTCAATGGAGCTCTAGTCGGTTGGGAGAATCTTTTGGATGGGATAACTAGTTTGGGGAACTGTTAATGGGTTGGATATCACTTGAAACATGGAAGCTTCTTACTGGGATATGAAAATCTCATCCAAGCCATAAAAGATGACTACTTGCGTGCCAAAAAGTGTGACGGTTAAGAGCCATTCAAAGTACCTAATTTCCACATTCAATTTTCGTATGCCATGGAAGCCTAAGCCCCTTACCAGGGATTGCTGTAACACAACGAAAGCTTGTTGAGCAACATTGACACTCAGCAGATCACCATTTAAGGCCTTATATTAGGAGAGATAGTGATTTGAATGTTTTAAACTCTTTATAAATGATATTGTGGATTTTTTATTTTTATGTTTACTTTGATACTTATTTTATGAGCTTTGTACTTTATGATTATGAGTAGAAATACTTATGATTAAATATATAGTATTTTTTATTATTTCTTGAAATAGATTTGGTTGATTTATTGATACCTTTGAAGGCATTGATGTTGTTGAGTAGCATAAAGTGTGCTGAAAAGTATGCAACCGATTGATTGGTTTTGTTGATATTTTGAGTCTTTAATTAATGAAAGTAGTTAAATTAGTTCAAAAGGTTTTAATCAATGATGATCACATAAATTGGGTAAGTTTTGTTTGTATAAGATTTGAAGTTTTCAATATTTCCTCTATCGATATGATAGTTGATTTAATGCTTTTTGGACTGATGTAACATGAACTGGTGTTTTCTTTATTAAATTTATTACCTTCTGTTTAGTATCTTTTCATACTCGATAATCCTTATACTTGCAAACTATAATGATAACACTCTGCTCCCTGTGGGTTCGACCTCCGTAGCATTAAGGTTCTACCACTTTATTACTTGAATGATATGTATACTTGCGTTGAATACTATAGCATCTTACGTAACATCAAGTTTTTGGTGCCATTATCGAGGAGCATCGATTTGATTTAGGGTTTTTTTTTATTTTTCTTACTTTTTTGTTTTCTTTTATAGGTATTTTTAGTTTTTTATTTTACTACTGTATTCCCCGAAGCGATGAAGATTTATATTCATTTGATCCAGAGATTGAAAGAACTTTTAGGAGACATCATCGTGAAGTAGCTCAAAACAGAACAAATATGGCTGGACAAGGGAATAGTATTTTACCCCTATTACAGAATGGAGAAAATGATGAGTTGTCAGCTGCATTGATGCTGGAAAACCATAATAAATCTTAGATGATTGTAATCGCCCTATTTATGAGCATGTGGTGCTGACATTAGATGATATACATCCAGGCATAATGAGGCAAGTGATTAATGCTGCAAAATTTGAGTTAAAGTCGATTATGTTCCAAATGCTACAATCAATAGGACAGTATGGAGGATATGTTGCTAAATATCCAAGAGCTCATTTGAGAGAATTCATGGAGGTTTACGATTCTTTTATTCAGCAAGGTTTTCCAAAGGAAGCACTAAAGCTGAAACTATTTTCTTATTCGCCATGCAAAAAAGAACAGACTTGGTTGAGTTCACTGCCACCAGGTGCTATAACATCCTAGAATGAGTTAAAATATAAATTATTATTGCAATTCAACACGCCGAACATATATTGCAAACTTCGAAATGATTTAACTTCATTTAAGCTAATGGAGGATAAAAGTATGTATGAAGCATGAGAAAGATTCAAAGAATTTTTACGGAAGTGTCCTATGCATGGATTCCCACATTTGACTCAAATGGAGATGTTTTACAATGGGTTAAACATACACACTCATATGGTTGTCGATACTTCAGCAAATGGATCTTTTCTAGATAAGACCTATAAGAAAGCATATGACATCTTGAAAAGGATCTCCACTAATGATTGCCAATACCCGAATACAAGAAATATGTTTGGCCGACGTAATGCTGCAGTAGTAGATTCTGAAGCTTTCAACTCTATGGCATCTTAGATTTCAACATTGATGGAAATGGTGAAGAAATTGAAAAAAACCAGGAGGAATGTATGAAGTCAAAGATGCATCCCTAATCACTTGTGTTTATTGTGGTGATAATCATAATTTTGATGAATGCCACCAAAATCCGGAGTCTATCTACTATGTGCAAAATTATCAAAGGAATGATAATGCTTTTGGCAATACGTACAATGCAAATTTCAGAAATCATCCCAATCTTTATTGGAAAAGTAAAAATGTTGCCAGTCCACAGCATCAACAGTATCAGTAACAACATTATACTCAGCAGAACCAAATGCCACAGCTACAGACACAATATCCTATTACTCAACCACAACAAAGGCAAAATTATCAAGGTTAATCCTCAACCCAAACTTCAACTTTATCATATGTTGAAGCTTTGATGAAAGATTATATGGTGAGCCAATCAGCCTCATTAATGGCTCTAGAAAATCAGATGAGACAAATGGCTAATGCTTGAAATAGTTGATTTCAAGGATGCTGCCTAGCGACATTGAGAATCCAAAGTAAAATGGTAAAGAGCATTGAAAACCCATAACTACAAGAAGTGGAATTCATATTGGAGAACCAGTTGAAGAACCTAGGAAAAATGATGAGGAAGTTCCTAAGTATGGTAAAGGGAAGAGCAAATAAGTTAAGCCCGAACCATCTATGAGTCATTTCACAGCATCAGATGAAAGACATAGTAGTAATTTAGAGTTATTGCCAATAATAACTCTTTCTACATCTAACGCTCCACCGACTTCAATGCCTTAGAAACAACAACCAAAAATACCTCCACCATTTCCACAACACTTCAAAAAGACAAAAGAAGATCAACAATACAAAGCCTTTATTGATGTCATTCGCCAACTCACAATTAATATTCAGTTAATTGATGATTTAGAGCAAAATCCAAACTAAATCAAATTTATGAAGGAATTTCTTTCGAAGAAAATGAGACTTGGTGAGTTTAAGACTGTCGCTCTTATAAAAATATAGCTCTATGGCTACTAGTCAACTGCCATCGAAACTTAAAGCTCCAGGGAGTTTCACTATTCCTTGCAATATTGGTGATACATTTGTAATTAAAGCTTTATGTGATTTTGGTGCTAGCATAAAACTAATTCCATTGTTAATCTTTAGAAAATTTGGGAGCGGAGGCCCACTACGGTCACTTTGTAACTTTTTGATCGTTATATCCTGTATCCTAGTGCTATTGTGGAGAACATGCTTGTGAGAGTAGACAAGTTTATTTTTCATATGGACTTCATCATTTTGGATTGTGAAGCAGAAAAAGACGTTCCAATTATTCGTGGCTGCCCATTCCTTGCCACAGGCTTAACTTTAATTGATGTTGAAAAGAGAGAATTGACTATGAACATATTACTTTTAATGTTTTAAATAATGTTTCTTAAATGTTGATTTTTTTTACTTGATGTGATTGATATTTTTGCACAGGAGCATTGGGAACAATGTTACAACACAGATAGAGCCATTAATGAATCAATACCATTTGAGGAATTATTGGATGATGCAGAAGATAAATGCAACAGAAACTATCTACATAACATCGAACCTTTGGAAATACCTGATCATGTTATTTGAGCACTGAATTTATCAATCGAAGAACCACAAAATCTTAAATTAAAACCTCTGCCAGAGCATTTAAAATATGTTTACCTTGGAGAGAATAAAACACTGCCAGTTATTGTGGTAGCAAAACTTACAACATCACAAGAAGCTCAACTGATTGATGTGTTGAAGCAGCATAAGAAAACTATTACCTGGAGTATTGATGATATAAAAGGCATTAGTCTATCATTTTGCATGAACAAAATCCTCTTGAAAGACCCTAATAGTAGTTCGATTGAACATCAATGAAGATTAAATCCAATCATGAAGGAAGTGGCTAGAAAGGACATTATCAAATGGTTGGATAATGGAATTATATATCTAATTTCGAACATCAGTTGGGTCAGTCTTGTGCAATGTGTTCCAAAGAAATATTGCATTACTATGGTAACAAATGATAAAATGAATTAGTACTGACAAAAACCACTACTGGTTGAAGGATATGTATGGACTATAAGAAGCTCAACAAAGCAACAAGAAAAGACCACTTCCTATTTCCATTCATAGACCAAATGCTAGATCGACTTACTGGTACTGCTTTTTTATTGTTTATTGGTTGGATATAGTGGTTACAATCAAATTGCAATAGCACTAGAGGACCAGTAGAAAATAACTTTCACATGTTCGTATAGTGAATTTTCTTTTTGGAGAATGTCATTTGGGTTATGTAATGCTCCAGTGACATTTCAGCACTGTTTGATTGCCATTTTCTCTGATATGATTGAAGATTATCTCGATGTATTTATGGATGATTTTTCAGTATTTGGGCAAGACTTTGAGAATTGTTTGAATAACTTGGTTGCAGTTTTGAGGAGATGTAAGGAGACCAACTTTGTTTTGAATAGAAAAAATGTCATTTTATAGTCACAAAAGGTGTAGTCCTAGGGCACCAAATTTCCTACTGCGACATTGATATAGATAAAACAAAAGTGAAGGTTATTAAAAAATTGCCACCTTCGACTAATGTAAGGCAGTTCAAATATTTCTTGGTCATGCTGGTTTTTATAAAAGGTTTATCGAGGATTTTTCTCAAATTGCTAAGCCATTGTGTTCCCATCCAGAGCAAAATAAAAAGTTTGTCATTGATGATGAAGTGTTTAAATCTTTTGAAACAACCAAGATAAAGATAGTGAATGCCCCTGTTATTATAGCACCATATTAGAATTTACCCTTTGCATTAATGTGTGATGCTAGTGATTTTGTTGTTGGTATAGTGTTGGGGCAACAAAAAAATAAAATGTTTCATGCGATACATTATGTGAGTAGAATGTTGAACGAAGCTCAGGTTAATTACACCAAAACAGAAAAAGGAGTTGCTCGTTGTGGTGTTCGTCTTTGAGAAATTTCGTTTACACCTAGTGGGCATGAAAGTGATTGTCTACATTGACCACTTAGTGTTGAAGCATTTATTTTCCAAAAAGGATAAAAAAAAATCTCATTTGATTCGATGCGTCTTTTTACTCTAAGAATTTGATATCAAGATTCGGGTTAAGAATGGATTTGAAAATCAAGTGGTTGATCACTTATCTAGGTTAGAATCTGACAGCGAAGATGACAACATTCCAGTAATTCCATATTACTTTCCTAATGAACGATTGTTAGCTGCTATAGCATTACTGTGGTACGCTTATTTTACCAACTATCTAGTCAGTGGGATGATGCTACCCGATCTTAATTATTAAGGCTGAAGGAAATTAATGAGGGATGTGAAGAAATACCATTAGGAGGAGCCGTATTTATTTAAATAATACAATGATCAACTTATGTGACGATGTATTCCTCAATTTGAACAGCAAAGCCTTCTACAACCTTGTCACAGTGCCCCGTATGGAGGACATTTTGGTGGTATGCATACAACGGCAAAAGTGCTTCAATGTGGATATTATTGGCCATCATTTTTTAAATATGCCAATGAATTTATAAAACATTGTGATAACTGCCAGCGAACATGGAATATTTCTCGGTGAAATGAAATGCCAATGCAACCTATTTTGAAGATTGAGTTATTTGGTGTTTGGGGATTAAATTTTATGGGTCCATACCATCTTCATGTAGCAACCTCTTTATTCTAGTTATTGTAGACTATGTATCCAAATGGGTGGAAGTTATAGTCTTGCCAAACAACAATGCTAAAGCAGTACTGTGATTTCTGCACAAATATATTTTCACTCGTTTTGGAACTCCTCGTGCTTTTATTAGTGATGAAAGATCCTAATTCATAGGCAATTAGGTTGCTAGAGCTTTGAATAAGTATTGTGTGAAGCATAAGATCTCTACAGCATATCATCCACAATCTAATGGTCAAGCCGAAGTGTCCAATCAAGAAATCAAGCAAATTCTTGAGAATGTTGTGAACCCTTCTAGAAAAGATTGGTCACAATGCCTTTAAGAAGCATTATGGGCTTATCGGATCGCTTATAAGACTCTATTAGGGATATCCTCTTATCATCTTGTCTATGACAAATCTTGTTATCTGCCTATGGAGTTGGAGAATAAGGCTATGTGGGCATTAAAGAGGCTGAACTTTGATTTAGATGCTACATGCGAAAAATGAATGCTATAGCTCAATACGTTAGAGGATCTCATCCAAGTCACCCAAAGGTAACTTAGGTACGCTAGAGATGTGTGAGCTCCAAGATGCAACCCCTCAGTCGCACTATGATGCCTACCTCAACTTGTTTTTTGTATAGTAGTATCAGTGTTGCATTTAGATAATGCACAATAGAGATAGTATTGCATTCAAATAATGCACAGTAGAGTCATTATTGCATTCAGATAATGCACAACAGAGTCGGTATTACATTTAGATAATACACAATAGAGTTAGTATTGCATTAGTAATGCTCAGCGGAGTCAGTGTTGCATTTAGATAATGCACAACAGAGTTAGTGTTGCATTCAAACAATGCACATAAGCGTTGGTATTGCATTTAGATAATGCACAACAGATACAATCAGTAGGGTTAGGGATATTTTAGAGGTATACTCATGGCTAATCCCTTACCAGGGGATTTAGGGAAGAGTGAGACTCCTACTTCAGTGATATAACATCTAAGCCTTAAGTAGGTAACACTTGATCTAAATCATGTATGTACCTACTGCTTAGTGTCATGTCTTCAGCATGCTTGTGTTTATGAAATTCTTATGATGCTCTAGATTAACTATCTCGATTTCCCTTAGTGGATCGACACTAAGCTTGTTCTTAGGGAATTGAATTTGCTACAAGCCGACTCTCCTCCCCAACTGTAGATCACAATGTCGATCAAGCCAATGCGCACTCCTTGGATTGAAAATATTGAGACGTTTGAAGAAAGGGCCGATTGTTTCTACTTACCTTCCAAAAATCAAGAAAGAATCTGAAAATATGAAACGCCTTTGAAATTCTCACGAGATTGAATCGAGTTGTAGCTCAACTATCTGCTAAGAAAAAATTTATCCAAGTATGATAGAATTCATACGTGGCGTGTGGAAGAGAGAAAAGATAAAGAAGAAAATAATTTTATTGAAAGAAACTAAAACAAAGAAAAAGCCAAAAATCAGTTCTATACTGAATTCTAAATATGTCTCAAGCTTCTCCCATAGAGGGTATTTATAGCTTTTATAACCTAATGAAAATAAAATACTAACTCTTAAGAAAATTAAAAACACTTAATTCTTAAGCGATAGTAAACTAAAAATCCTAATAATAAATAATTAAAATCCTAATTGAAATTCTAAGCAAAAAAATCCTAATTAAATAAATAATAAAATCTAAGATGTTTAAATTTAATTACAACCTTTAATTCCTAAAGAATTATGGTTCGCCTTGCTTTTATGCTTTGATAAGAGTTTATGACTGAATTATTTAATCATAGTTTATGCTTAGATTGGTTTTCTAATTTGAGTTGGCGTCGATTTTTCTCAACAAAAAAAAGGAAAATCTGTTTAATTTGCCCTTTAATTATTGTTTCTTGGAAAATAGAGTCCTGCGCATATTTAAATATAAATAACTCAAATTAACACTATAAATATAGGTAACAGTATGACACAATTGGACTTCAAGAAGCCCAGTTCCTTCTACCACCTCATGTAACACGTTAAAATGCTCTCCTCGTTTTCCTCTCTACAATGTTCTGACTCTACTCATTTTCAGAAAACTTCTTTCTCGACATTTTCCTCAGGAAACTCCCTCGCGTTAACTGAATAATTAAGGTCTGGAATGTCATCGGCTGCAGGCAAGTTGTCTTTCTCCTCCATGCTTAACGGACCACGGCCATCGATAACCACCCTTACTTCCTCAAACTTCTCGATTTTCAGCTTTATTTCAGACCAAACACCATTAATCAAAATTCTCACTCTATCTAGGATATTTGAGACCTGTTGAACTGAAACTAACAACTTGGCTTCATCGAATTTATTGCGTTGGTGAGTCTCTTCGTCAATCTTCAAAATGCTCCCCCATTTGCTTACCCAAATGCAAGAAAAAGTTCTCGCTCTAAACTTGAAGGGGGACTTCATACAATAAAACCCATACTTTAATCTTCTTTTTCCCCTCAAACCCCTTTAATTTTTCCAGAACATCGAACCATGAACGAATTAGCTTTTTTCTCCCACTCCAACACTGATTTAAGTCTTCTATAATCGAAAACTGCAACACCACTAATAGTCCTTGCTATGGACAAAGTTTCACCGCAACGCCTTCTAATCTTAGTACGTCTTGAAATAACTCAAGGTTGTGCATGCTCTTTACTTATCCGACAAGGCAGAGTCTTCTCCATTCCACATCAGTTTTTGACACACTGATTTGGTTTGCTAAAGCATCCTCAATAAACTCTGCACCGTCGGGTTGCTCATCCACTAGCCTCACATGAATTGTGTTTTTTGTATTAACCATACCATACTTCTTATAGTCCGTAGGCTGGGTATTCATACCTGGAGTAGCCATGAGGTTCATATACATCTGCCCTTGAATAGAGTGATAAACATTCGAGTGATTAAAATATGAATAATTTAAAATTTTACTGATTAAATTAGAAAAGAGCTAAACTTTAATGATCAAAATAAAGCTAATAAAAAATTTGAGTGAAAAATTATATGATTTACCCTAAATGCATTAAAGATAAATAAAAAAAGTTGCTCCCAATCATAATCAAAAGGGAAGAGATGTTCGAATCCCATTTTTTTTTTAAAAAGGATAAGAGAGTTGAATCATTAATTATATGCTTGTCTTTTCAATATGTGCCCTAATTACATTGACCCAATAATGATTGTCTTTTTCAGTAGGTGCCCAAATTACCTATTGACCCATGGTTTTTTTTATCAATCACGTATCTCCATTATTAATAGTTTAAAAAAACATCTTAATTTATTTTAAAGATTAAAATAACATTATTTTTCTTAATATGTAAACCTGTCCACTTCTCACAAAAAAATATTTAATCTTAAAATGGAATAAAGCTTAATTAATCACTATAATTGATTGTAGATATTTTGCATCGGTTGTGACGATGTAGCTGGCATGTCCCTCCACTAAGGCACGATGGCTATTTTATGATATTTATTATACATAATATGTAAGGCAGTAAGTGAGAGCTACGTGCGATTAAGTAGTAATTTATTAGGTTATGCTTGATATTTAGAATAAAAATAATTATTTTACTGACAAATCACATTATTATTTTCTTTTTAAAATTTTAAGTAGCATAGTTACAATAGTAAATACACAAAACACATTGTTTGATTAATTACCTTTATCATTGCATAGGATGACCTAAACTATGGTTTATATTCTAAATTGGTCTCTAAATTTTAAAATAGTTTATATCATTCCTCTAACTAGCAGTATTGTTTCATTTTAATCATTCTGTTAATGTGATGTTAATTATACTGGTTCAAAATTTTATATTTTTTGAGGATCATGCGATATGAACTCGTGACCTAAAAAATTCAAAGACGCTCAAGAAAAAATATTTTATTTTAGAAGGTCGCAAGTTCAATTTCTAGGACTTTCAGAAACCATTAGAGTTACCATCACAATAATGAAAAGAACAAAATAGAATGATATTGATAGTTTGATGAACGATATAAAACATGCCATTTTAAAGGTTAATGATATTTTATATTGAAGGTCATAGTTTGGGGACTGATATAAAATATTAAAAAGTTTAAAGATCAATTTAGAATATGAATCATAATTTAAGGATCTCTTATGCAATCATTTCAAAAGTACTACTTAGAATCAATTATTATAAAATATAATCAAAGTAATAATCAAACTTAATAATAACAAAGCATCTGGATATGCTTTTTTCGCATTAAATATTCTTAATTGAGCATAGTTTGATGCTTTTTTTTTTCAAAGTTAATATGGAAATTCTTCAATTTATGGGGCCCGAAACATCATTATATTTATGTGGGGGATGAGAACCCATAAGTGGGTGATTTCGGTAGACATTAAATTTTAATATCTAACTTTATCGGTTAACCCTCAAATAATTAATTTATACTTAAATCAATCTTTTAAGATAAATTATCTTTGCATCTCATATAATAATTTTTCATCAAAATATAAGAGTCCATTTGAATAAAAGCAAAACAAATTTGAATGTTAAAACTAATATTTATTATTGATTAAAGCAATTATGAAGAGGCAAATCTTCGATATTTATAATTTGAATTAATATTATTTTTGTAGATGTAGATAATAGATATAGGACTAAAGTATACAAATCTTTTTTTAACATCACTAAAGTATAAAAATGATCTTCATATTGTAGGGTGTTGTTTTATTAAATTCCTCAATTATTAAAAGTAGTAAAATAGTCTTCTAATTATATGATGCTTCTTTGTTGAGTCATCCGATTATTAAAAGTTATAAAATGATTATTTGATTATTCATTTTGTTCTTCTCTGTTAAAGGATTGGTGGTCATATTTTGATCACCTACTGTTAAAAAAATTAAGAATGATGTTAATATGTCATTTTTTTAATTATTTTCCAGTCATGATATATATTATCTTATGATGATACATCAACATCACTGTTAATCTTTTTAAGAGAGTGACCAAAACAGAACCAAAATGTAATATTAAGTATGATTTAAAATAAATAATAATTGAGTGACCAAAACAGAAACTAAATAATAAATGAGTGACTTAATAAATAATATATCCTTTTAGGGTATGAGGGTCATGACCTAGGTAGACCTAAGCCTATATATACTTATCAAACCAATACTTTGATTACAATAATAGTACCGATAGACATCATCAGATCATTATAATATACTACAGAGGAGGTATCATTTGTCTACTGTAGCCTGGATTGAGACGTCAACTCTCTCGGTTACAAAGTCTAGAATACGTTTGTTTCAAAAAAAAAAAAGATCAAATAATAATAATCAAATTATTTATTAGTAAAAGTAAATTCAAATTGACCAGCTGCATATGTTAGCTGGCAATAGGGGAACGGGGTAAAAAGACTGATGTTTGGAGCACCAAATCCTAGCCAGTGGAGGAAAAGAAGAGGGCTTTTAATCCCCCAAAAAACGCAGAGAAATTTACTCCAAGGTAAAAAGGTGAAAAGGGATTAGTCAGTCTATAAATGTTTGTTGTAACCTCCCCCGCAACATCAACGCCTCTTTCCTGTTTAATCGACCTCTGTTTTGACAAAAAAAAAAAAAAAAGAGAATCCCTTGCAAATCTCATTCTGTGTGCTGCACAAATAGCCCCCCCTTGATGATGGAATCCATCAGCATCATCACCATCTGCTCTGTTCTTTCATGGATTCCCTTAAATTCCCTTGAATCCATTACATTCCATTAGCACCATACCCAAATACCCAGTTTTCATTTTTGCAGAAAAAGAAAATGGAGGAGAAGCATGTTTTGTTCGGAAAATACGAGATTGGTAAGCTGTTAGGGAAAGGAACTTTCGCAAAAGTGTACCACGGGAAAGAGTTAACGACGGGTGAAAGCGTGGCCATTAAAGTCATCAGCAAAGATCAGGTGAAGAAGAAAGGGATGATGGAGCAAATCCAGCGAGAAATCTCCGTTATGCGCCTCGTCCGACATCCCAACATAGTTGAACTCAAAGAAGTAATGGCCACCAAGACAAAGATCTTCTTTGTCATGGAATATGTCCGGGGAGGTGAACTCTTTGCCAAAGTTTACAAAGGCAAGCTCAAAGAAAACATGGCGCGTAAGTACTTCCAACAGCTGATTAGCGCCGTCGATTTCTGCCATAGTCGTGGCGTTTCCCACCGTGATTTGAAGCCGGAGAATCTTTTGTTGGACGAAAATGAAGATCTGAAGATCTCTGATTTTGGGTTGTCGGCTTTGCCGGAGCAGATCCTCAACGATGGGTTACTTCACACTCAGTGTGGGACTCCGGCTTATGTTGCTCCCGAGGTTTTGAGGAAGCAAGGGTACGATGGATCCAAAGCTGATATCTGGTCTTGTGGGGTTATTTTGTATGTTCTTCTTGCAGGTTTCTTGCCTTTTCAAGATGAGAATCTGATGAAGATGTATCGGAAAGTTTTCAAGGCAGAATTCGAGTTCCCCTGCTGGTTTTCCACCGAATCTAGGCGGTTGATCTCGAAACTACTCGTGTCGGACCCCGAAGAAAGGATCACTATCGATGCCATAATGCTTGATCCTTGGTTTCGGAAGGAATTCACACGTTCGCTCGCGTTCTCGGTCGAGGAATCGACGGAGGATGATGAATCCGTTGCCAAACGATCGTCCCCAAAGTTTTTTAATGCGTTCAAGTTGATTTCCTCGATGTCGTCGGGGTTCGATCTGTCGAGTTTGTTCGAGAGCAAGAGGAGATCGGGGATGATGTTCACGTCGAGATGTTCGGCCGGGGCAATCATGTCGAAAATCGAAGCTGTTGCGAAGGGGTTGAATTTTAAGGTGGGAAAAGCCAGGGAGGAGTTCAAGATGAGATTACAAGGGCCGTCGGAGGGGAGAAAAGGGTGGCTTTCGGTGACGGCCGAGGTGTTCGAGGTGGCACCGGAGGTTGCGATCGTCGAATTCGCCAAGTCGACGGGGGATACCTTGGAGTATGCTAAGTTTTGCGAGGAAGATGTTAGGCCTGCATTGAAAGACATTGTTTGGACATGGCAAGGTGACTGTTTCGACATGGCAAGTACTGCCACAGGTGACAACCTAACAGTTCGTGAAGATTAAGGAAAATCTTTATTTACCCCCCCCCCTTTCATTGGTTGAAGATTAGAATTTGTAAATACCTACTTTATTATTAGTACAATAATGGCATGGGTTTGGATTCTGTGTACTAGCCATGGAGTTTTTTTTATCCTTTAGTTGATTTTTAAAAACTAAAATGACGGAATTTAAGTAACAGTGGCTGCCTGGTTTTAAGACAATCTTTGTGTGGAAACGAGGAAGTATTATACCTATGAAGATAGCTTTTCAAAGTTTTCAAATTTTCGTCGGATTAGATTTATCGAAATTATTAGTTTTTTTATCAGTTAGATAAAGGTGTTTAATCGGTTGGTTCGGTTAATCGATTGAACCAAACTTTCAAAATTTATTATTTGATTTTTTTTTCGCTTTAACCGTTAATTGAATTAATTTTTTTTTGAAAATAATTAATCGAACCGAACAAAGTTCGGTTAATCGGTTGGTTAACCAAAAATTTAAATAATATGTATTATATATTAAATATTTAACATTTTTATCTTATCCGATTAAAACCGAAATTTAAATACTCCTAAAGCTATTAATACATAAATAATATATTAGATATTTAAAAATTTTGATTAATTCGATTAATTGACTGATTTCGAACCGAATTAACCGATAATCAAACTTTGAAAAAATATTAACCGTTAACCGACCGAACTTAAAATTAACCGGTCGATTAATCAAAAAAATTTCTGTTTGATCGGTTTTGTACGGTTAACCGAACTTTTTAACCCCTAGTTAAAATCTCTAGATAATTTTTTTATTTATTAGATCTTTTGATTTGTTTACATCTTTTAAATACAGAATTTAATTAATTACCACAAATATAATTTTTTTTTGACAAATTAACATGATACGATGAAATAAAATTAAAAGTTCTGCAACCAAATTTCTCTGACCCGCCAGTCTCTAAATAATTATAGTAATTCTATACACTAAAAATTACTATAAACATTTTTAATTTAAATTGAAAAAATAAAATTTCACCATCCCTATAACATCATCTTCATCTCTACTCTCCTGTATAAAAACATGGACCAGTTATTTATCTATTAATTGCAAATTTTCATCCAATCAAACTCACTTTTATCAACAGGAAGGTTCAAAGTTGATGGAAAAAGATGTGTTTTTGTGCAAATTTCAGTTCATGTCGGACAATGGTTTGGGTGACACGTCCCCTCACGAACAACAATACTTAAAACCATATTTAAGAACTACCTGCCCATCACTCAAAGAAATCAAATTATTATATTATATTATATTATTAGGGGCGGATCCGGGACAAAAATTCAGGGATTGCAAGAGCCCTAGGGTGACACTTTTGAGGGGTGATACTTGTATTAGAGGTGACACTTGTATTAATTTTGAGGGGTTTCTATATGGATTTGTTGTTGGAGAAGAATTTTGTGGGGTTGCCTGGGATACCCAGGGCACCACTCAGGTCCGCCCCTGTATGTTATGTTATATTTATATTATGTTATATTAAGATGAATCTTTCGGGGGGTAAGTTGTAACAGATTTAGATTTTTAGGAGGCTTTGCTACAATGCTTATGATGTAACAAAGTTGTAAACTATTTTAGCATGAAGCAATCGATTGTGGAAATTTTAGGAGGAATATCTTACGGGTAAATTATAAATTTTTATCACTCAAATTTTTTCTTCTTATTTTATATTATTAAAATTTAAATATATTAATTTAATTATTATATTTTCAAATTATTTTAATATTTTAATCATTTTATTGTTAACCATCTTTTGATATTATTGTCACACTGCAATTGATGATAATTTAAGGTTTAGATTAGAATTAAAAGATTTTAATTTTCTTTTCCACTTCAAATCTTATGTGGCTTAAAACATTATTAAAATAAGTCATGTCATAATAAAATATTTTTTTCATCACATATTTTATGATTAAACATTAAAGTAACTAAATCAAGAGCAATTTGAAAGTTTCGTGATTAATTTAAAACTTTATAATTTTTTTAGTGATGAAATTTAAAATTTATCCAGCCTTTATTTATAAAATTTTATAATCTATTTTTGGTTAAACTACACTATTAGTTTTCGTTTTTCTACTTTGGTCATTAAATAAATTTTTTTGATAAATTTGTCATTAAATTTCAGTTAAACTTAGCTGATAAGATGGCGTGACCAATGTAATAATAATTTTAATCTATAAAATTTATGTATTTTATCAATTTGATCATAATTTAAAACAACTCTTTTATTTTTTTTATTAATCTCACGCCCCATGACTTTCTCTGTACTCGAATGCAATACCCCAAATATTAGGCCAGAGACTAAATTGAAAAGAATTAAAATTTGAAGATTTATTTGAATAATTGGTAAAAGATGAGAAAAATGATTTGGATTAGTGTTTTGAACTAAATTGTAGCAAAAGATGAATTAAGAGGGCATTTTGGTCCTTTAAGGAGAAAATAAATTTAAAATTCATTTTCTATCAAGTATTAAAGAAAAAGGGGGAAAAGGGAATTTAGGTTATGAAAAGGTCATCTCTCTTTCCTTCCTATTCCCATGAAAATAGCTCTCCCCCATAGCAAAGATCGAAATCAAGCTCCCGAGTCAAGCAAAGCTAAAGATAAAGGCAAAGTACCAGAGTGATCAACTTTGCATTTTGGGTATAATAGCAAGACAATCTATGTAAGTACATTTATTGTGTACGTATATGTTACTGTAGTCAGAGAAATATGATTGATTGATATATGTATGGTGATTACCAAATGGCACTCAGTGTGCAAAAAGTTAAGAAATTCATACTAAGTGTGTGAATTTCCGTATGGGCACTTTATGTGCAAATCTGAGAAATTCATACTACGTGTATGAATTTCCATATGGACACTATGTGTATGAACTAATAAATCTATAATAAGTGTATGAATTTCCATATGGGAAATATATGTGCAATTATCAAAAGTTCATAATAAGAAGGTGAATTGACGTATTGGTAGTGGGCGAGCAATCTATGTAAATTATAGTAAGAATGTGGGATTACTGCATTGGCACTATAGTTATAAACCATAGAGTGTATAATGATTTGAAATAGTTAATTGATATTATAAATAATTATTATAGTAGAAACTGTTATAGAGTAAAAGATAAATAGCCTAATTGTGCATTTGATAGAAATGTGTCAATTATGCCAGTTAGATGAAAGGCTAAATGCTTTTGAGGCCTAGCTGTGCATTTGGCAGAAAGGTGTCAATTATACCAGTTAGATGAACGGTTAAAGACCGCTGAGTAAAAGATAAATGGCCTAGCTGTGCATTTGGCAGAAATGTGTCAATTATGTCAGTTAGATGAACAGTTAAAGACCATTGTGTAAAAGATAAATGGCCTAGTTGTGCATTTGACAGAAAGTTGTCAATTATGCCAGTTAGATGAACGGTTAAAGATCGTTGAGTAAAAGATAAATGGCCTAGCTGTGCATTTGGAAGAAAGCTGTCAATTATGCCAGTTAGATGAACCTTTAAAGACCGTTGAGTAAAAGATAAATGGCCTAGCTGTGTATTTGGAAGAAAGGTGTCAATTATGCCAGTTAGATGAACGGTTAAAGAGACCGTTGAGTAAAAGATAAATGGCCTAGCTGTGTATTTGGCAGAAAGGTGTCAATTATGCCAGTTAGATGAATAGTTAAAGACCGTTGAGTAAAATATAAATGGCCTAGTTGTGCATTTGGCATAAAGGTGTCAATTATGCAGTTAGATGAACGATTAAAGACCGTTGAGTAAAAGATAAATGACTTAGTTGTACATTTGGTAGAAATGTGTCAATTATGCCAGTTAGATGAACGATTAAAGACCGTTGAGTAAAAGATAAATGGCCTAACTGTTCATTTGTCAGAAAGGTGTCAATTATGCCAGTTAGATGAACATTTTGAGTAAAAGATAAATGGCCTAGCTGTGCAATTGGAAGAAAGGTGTCAATTATGCCAATCAAATGAACGGTTAAAGACCGTTGAGTAAAAGATAAATGGCCTAACTATGCATTTGGCAGAAAAGTGTCAATCATGCAAGTTAGATGAAAAGTAAATGCCTTTGGGTAAAAGACTAAAGGAATTATAATGCATTTGGATATAAACAGTGCATAAGTAGTATGAAAGGATGTCATATAGCTATAAAATGTACAACAATACATAATTGGTATGAATGGTTGTCATAAAGGAAAAACGTAAACAATACATAATGGGTATGAAAGGATGCCTAAATGAAAATACAAAATAGTGTATTAATAGTAGTAAAGGTGCTGTTCATAATGATTATAAAAGATACATGATCAATTGACATTTTGGTGCAATACATGTATAATACGTTCTAATTTAACATACACCGTGCAAATAAAGAATAATTGTGGAAAAATATATAGAATGATAGATAGGTTGGGCCTACTAAGAATAATTTAGATGACTTATTGAAAGAATTATGGTGTAACTGATAATGGCTTATCTGGTCCTTATGGATTTTGCAATTTAAATTGTCATTCAATATTCATAAGATATTTATGTATAAGTTTGATATCTTTGCAGTATTATGTCTCACTAAGTAAATACTTAACGTGTGTTGATTTCACGCGTAGGTAAAGGCAAAGATTAGTTGCGTAAGGAGTGCAGCAGTAGCAGCAACGATCTTCAATTAAGGTTGACCCGTCAGTAACGTTAGCACAATCTTATTCCTTTTGAAAACTTAGTTGGCATGTAATGGAACTAAATTAAATATTTTGTAATGAATTTAAATTGGTAGTTTTAGTATTTTTCCTTATATGAATATCATACTTTGAGGTTGTTAAAAATTGAAACAAATTTTTACAGGTTTTCAAATGACAAAATATTTTAAAAGTGATCTGACATCCGTATCTCGTGTACAGAAATATATACGAGAGATGGGTGTTACATCGAACCTGGGCCTTAAGGACCGATAACCGTTTCTTTACCACTTAGACCACTCAGTTCATGTCAAAATAACTCATTTAATTTACACTTCATTTTTAATATTTGAATAAAATTCTAAACTTTCCAATTTCTCATTTTCTTTTCATCTTCTTCTTTTTTTTGAAAAAAAAAAGAAAATTTCTTTTTTAATCTTCCTCCTTTCTGTAAAAAAAAAGATGAGAAATTTTATTTTGTAGGATTGTCATTCCAAGATTTTCGTAACTCTAAATCAAGTTTTTTCGTAAATATGATAGAGAGGATATATATATATATATATAACTGTTGATGTATAATTTGAAGTTACGATAATTTATTTCAGATAATTTGAAGGAAGAATTATTGATTATAGTGATAGAAGGAATTCAATTTCTAGTTAAGATATAGAAGAAAGAAGATAGAACAAAGTAGGCTTGAGTTTGAATCACTCATAAAATCTTTATATATTCTATTCTCTTAATGTCACATACTGATATTAGATGGACAAAAGAGAAAATATTAGAGTAACCATGAAGTCACACTAATTTATTAACCATCGAACTTATTCAAGTTTGACCAAACGAGTTCAACTACCCCATTTGTCGATCATTCCTCAAGTTAATGACCCCAACATAGAGTGGATTACTAGGCTAGACCTATAAAATTATATTCAAGCATTTAAACAGTGGTTCATTATTCAAATAATAACTGTTATAAAATAAAAAATATATCATCTAAAATTATTATTATGCAATAACAATATCTATTGTTATTACAATAGTAATAAACATAACACTATAAAACATATAACTGCGGTCACATTTTAAATTCATGACTATAGTTACAACAACAAAGATTTATCTCATCAAAAATTTGTTGATCGAAGGAACAATGTTTCACGAGATGTTTAATAGAGTATGGCATTGGTATAACAATAATAAAGTTTTATTAAATTTAAATAAAAGAACTAAAGCTCATAAATGAGGTGGTGTAATATGATTCGCCGTCTATATATAAAAGTTACGTACTAAAGCTCTTTCTTTTTTAGAATTGACGAGTCTTTCAAGCGTCAAAAGCTCGAACCCCACCTTGTGAACTCTATACAGTTATTATCATGAGAACCTATTTTTTTAATTATATTTAAGCATTGAACACACTGAACAATTTTAGTAACGAAATGTACTATTATTGTTGTTAAATGTTTGAATTTAAATAATTACATTTATATGACGAGTGCTTGTTATTAATGATTAAGATTATGAATATATGTTATCTTATAAAATATGTCTAACACTTGATTTATTGTTAGAATCGAAGACGATTATATATTTATATTATATGATTAAGCAAAGATATTACCGGAAAGTAGTAAGAAATGAGAATGAGAAACCAATGAACAAGGACAAATCAGCTTATGACACAATGGAGAAACCGATATACAAGTGGAAGACACCCACAGTAGCTTTCATGTTAATGGAAGTTTGGATTATTGCAAGGGATATCGTAGAAGAAGTAGCTAGAACTTGAGCTCCATACGTGTCTCCCTTAGACGGTGGAAATCTGGGCAGCTGTCTTGGTGGACCTCATCGTGACATGTGGGAAAACGAAGTTGCTTTAGCTTTTGAACTTAGCCCCACACTTTATTGAAAATGAAATGATCAAATGACTTTATAGTCAAGGGATCTCCAATTCAAGAATGTTGTGGACTTACTAAATGAGGTCTCAATTTAGTTAGAGATATTCAAACAGATCAAGGATAGATTGAGAAGATATTAATCGAGCTAAAATTTTTTGTTGTTGTTGAAAATCTAAAATTATTATATATATTGAATATTTCTTTTATAGTTTTTATTAATAGTCTATTTTTTCTTTTTAAAATCTCATGAGTTGATCTCCTCTTAGAAATTTAAAAATTTATTTATCTCTAGCATAAAATTACGAGTTTATCCTGAAGAGGGGTGAACAAATCAAGAATATTGCAATAGTTTGAAGAACATTGTGACTGACAGTATGTATTGTGAAAGAGTTTATAATTGTAACTTATATTTTGCTGAAACTTGATGTATTTCTCATAAAAAAAAACTTGTTAAGTAGGTAGGGGCCATTGTCCACCTATAAATAAAAAGAAAGACAATATATTGTTAATGTGGTTCAAAACAAATCTATCCTACGTTTGTTAAAGTCAAGCTTAGTGAATAATTCAGTGTCATTCAATCAACACAAATATGACATGAATTATCATATGTAACATTATCTTCTCCCTTGCATAATGTTTCTTCTGTAATATACAAATAACATTGCTTATTTCCTTTAGCAATGATAGTTGTTTCTTGTGAGTTTCCATTTTTTGTCACAGAAGTGATTCATCAGATGTTAAGTTTTTCAATCCTCTATTCTTTCTCTTATTTCCTTCTATATATGCATAGTTCAAGTTCTTGAAGTTCGACTTTTATATAGTTAGATACGTTTGAAGATTTTGTTTTTGATGGGAAAGGAATTGTAGCTTGCTTGTGATACTCGACAAATAAATCAATATTACTCACCGAATTAATAATTTATGTGTCAATCATTGTTTGGACTGTAGCATCATTGTTCACATAGGCCATTGATGAATGTTGTGGAATCGAGGAGGTTGGAAACCTGAATTGTAGTAAAGAAAGTGTTGAATCATTATTATCTCCAGCATTGTTTGAAATTTAGTCACCAAGTCGAATGTCTCACTCGAAGGAGATGGTGAAAGATTTCCCCTCACAATAAAATTGTTATTGAAATTGCTGCCATGGAAATTTTCAAAATAGGAACTTGAGCAATGAAATTGTGCGTCTTGGGTCTAATATTTTATTATTATTTTCTTAAAACTCGTCACATCGGCATGATGTGTTCTATTATTTTTATAATAATTATTTTTGAAAAAAATTAGAACACACGTTGATATTTTTTTTACTAAATACAAAGTACTAAAATTTACATTCGAAGCATTAACTCATTTATTACATTACACTACAATATAAAAGAAGCATTGAGTGGTTACCCCCAATCTTAGTCTTCATAGTCAGTTGACTCATCAGATGTTAAGTTTTTCAATCCTCTATTCTTTCTCTTATTTCCTTCTATATATACATAGTTCAAGTTCTTGAAGTTCGACTTTTATATAGTTAGATACGTTTGAAGATTTTGTTTTTGATGGGGAAGGAATTGTAGTTTGCTTGTGATACTCGACAAATAAGTCAATATTACTCATCGAATTAATAATTTATGTGTCAATCAGGGTTTGGACTGTAGCATCATTGTTCATATAGGCCATTGATGAATGTTGTGGAACCGAGGAGGTTGGAAACCTGAATTGTAGTAAAGAAAGTGTTGAATCATCATTATCTACAGCATTGTTTGAAATTTAGTCACCAAGTCGAATGTCTCACTCGAAGGAGATGGTGAAAGATTTCCCCTCACAATAAAATTGTTATTGAAATTGCTGCCACGTAAATTTTCAAAATAGGAACTTGAGCAATGAAATTGTGCGTCTTGGGTCTAATATTTTATTATTATTTTCTTAAAACTCGTCACATCGGCATGATGTGTTCTATTATTTTTATAATAATTATTTTTGAAAAAAATTAGAACACGTAACACGTTGATATTTTTTTACTAAATACAAAGTACTAAAATTTACATTCGAAGCATTAACTCATTTATTACATTACACTACAATATAAAAGAAGCATTGAGTGGTTACCCCCAATCTTAGTCTTCATAGTCAGTTAACTCATCAGATGTTAAGTTTTTCAATCCTCTATTCTTTCTCTTATTTCCTTCTATATATACATAGTTCAAGTTCTTGAAGTTCGACTTTTATATAGTTAGATACGTTTGAAGATTTTGTTTTTGATGGGGAACGAATTGTAGCTTGCTTGTGATACTCGACAAATAAGTCAATATTACTCACCGAATTAATAATTTATGTGTCAATCATTGTTTGGACTGTAGCATCATTGTTCACATAGGCCATTGATGAATGTTGTGGAACCGAGGAGGTTGGAAACCTGAATTGTAGTAAAGAAAGTGTTGAATCATCATTATCTCCAGCATTGTTTGAAATTTAGTCACCAATTCGAATGTCTCACTCGAAGGAGATGGTGAAAGATTTCCCCTCACAATAAAATTGTTATTGAAATTGCTGCCATGTAAATTTTCAAAATAGGAACTTGAGCAATGAAATTGTGCGTCTTGGGTCTAATATTTTATTATTATTTTCTTAAAACTCGTCACATCGGCATGATGTGTTCTATTATTTTTATAATAATTATTTTTGAAAAAAATTAGAACACGTAACACGTTGATATTTTTTTACTAAATACAAAGTACTAAAATTTACATTCGAAGCATTAACTCATTTATTACATTACACTACAATATAAAAGAAGCATTGAGTGGTTACCCCCAATCTTAGTCTTCATAGTCAGTTGACTCATCAGATGTTAAGTTTTTCAATCCTCTATTCTTTCTCTTATTTCCTTCTAAGTTCTTGAAGTTCGACTTTTATATAGTTAGATACGTTTGAAGATTTTGTTTTTGATGGGGAAGGAATTGTAGCTTGCTTGTGATACTCGACAAATAAGTCAATATTACTCACCGAATTAATAATTTACGTGTCAATAATTGTTTGGACTGTAGCATCATTGTTCACATAGGCCATTGATGAATGTTGTGGAACCGAGGAGGTTGGAAACTTGAATTGTAGTAAAGAAAGTGTTGAATCATCATTATCTCCAGCATTGTTTGAAATTTAGTCACCAAGTCGAATGTCTCACTCGAAGGAGATGGTGAACGATTTCCCCTCACAATAAAATTGTTATTGAAATTGCTGCCATGGAAATTTTCAAAATAGGAACTTGAGCAATGAAATTGTGCATCTTGGGTCTAATATTTTATTATTATTTTCTTAAAACTCGTCACATCGACATGATGTGTTCTATTATTTTTATAATAATTATTTTTGAAAAAAATTAGAACACGTAACTGTTGAGTTAATCGATTGACGGAATTGGCCAAGAGGGGGTGAATTGGCAATTAAAAATTTGGTGGAAGCTTTTGCAGGAAATTGAAAGTAATTGCACATCGATTTAGAGTGGTTAAACTTTCTCAATCAAAGTCTACGTTCACTATCTTAGCTATCCACACTAAGGATTTTCCAACAAATTCACTAATTTGTTCTTTCTTTTGAGGCCAAAGAGATAACCTTACAACACCCTCAAGAATATACCCCAATTCTTGAGAACACTCTTTCCCAAAGAGAAGATTACAAATTTGCAAACTTACAAGGAAAACCTCTCAAGGTAAGATGTTTGCACAATTCTAGAACAAGAAAAGAACACTCACAAATAATTACAAATGAGCACAAATAGTGTTCTTTGAAAGCAAAATGAATATTGAAAGGAAAATTGGCTTGATTTGCACAAACTTGGTGTTTGATGCTTTCTCTCTTGTTTCTCTATAATTTCTTGTTGATCAAGGGCTTCAAAACTTGTTTAAATACACCTTGAATCACTTCTGAACGTTGGGGATGATTAGTGAAGATCATATAGCCGTTTTAGTGTGAAAACAATTAATAAAACAACTTGGAGCGTGGGGGAATCGGTACCCCCTATGGGGAATCGGTTCCCTAAGTGTAAAATTCAAATATTTTAACCGTTATACAAGGGGGAATCGGTTCCCTCCGAGCATACTGGAATTCTCGGAGCCAAACCATTCAGGGGGGAATCGGTACCCCCTTAGGGGGGAATCAATTCCCTCTGAGCAATCTGGAATTTTTGGCTTTGAAATGGTTCGAAATATTTTGTAAAATTATTTTGAAATTGTTTTAAGATTAAAACTTAATTTTACACTTTGAGTAAGGATTAAAAATGATCTTTGAAAGATTTGGTGTAATGTTTTGACATTCGAATAATTCTATCGAATATACTTAGAAAATCATTTGGAAAATCTTAAAATTCATTTAACTTAATTTGTTATATCAAAATATCAAAATGTTTTCAACAATCTCCCCCTTTTTGATATGACAAAAACATTTTAGTAATTTTAAGATTTTGAAATCAAGTTTTGAAATTACTCCCCCTTACGTTAACACTTCTCCCATTTATCATTTAAAAACACTTTAACACTTCTCCCCTTTTTTGTTAAATCAAAAAGACATTTTAAAGAATTTAAACAAGGTTTTGAAATCAGTTAGCCAATTGATTATATATATAATATAAGCTGCTAAGATCACAAGCAAGAGAAACGTTAGCCATTAGTTTCATAATCAATATTCATAATTAATGTGAAATGGCAAAATTGGTCATATATCTAATCATGAAGTAAATGATGCAATAATGAATAAATTTAATCACACCAAATAGATAATTTCTAACCATTCATAAATCCAAACAAATTCAAAGTCAATCAATCCAAAAATTCAAACATTCCAAAATATTCAAAATGTTAAAACAATAAGTTTGGAGTTCAAAGCAAAACATTGAATCACATATCTGGATCAGGAGGAGGAAAACGAGCTCGCATAGCGGCCATTTTGTTAGTGAGGTCATTAATACGTGCGTTGGTCGCTTCATTATTTGCACGCATTTCCCGAAGAATTTCTAATTGTTGAGCTCCCATTGTGGATAAATGGGACTCTATAGAAGTAAAGCGCGAATCCATAGTAGCGTATCGAAAATCGAATGTCTCCATAAAGGATTGGAAATATGGAGGCATTGGATGCATTTGTTGTGCTTGCTCTTCGGGCTGCTCCTCGGGCTGCTCAGGCTCATCTTCGGCTTCATCGATGTCTCGCATTAATTGCTCAAGCTCAAGATCTTCGTCAGCTTCGGTTGGAGCTTGTGAAGAACTAGCTCCCGGAGTATTTGCAGAAGATCGAACCCATTCACCGGTTTCCTTATCCTTAATCCATCCCGCTCTCGTTAAGGAAAGAAGGTTAATTTGTTTCTTAAGGGGAAAAACGGCATCTAGACCGACTCTAAGCCCAGCTTTGGAAAACAGATTACTCAAAATGCAACCGTAAACAAGAGATGAACAGAGTTTTTTGTTAGGAACAAGATTTACGGTTTCAACAATTTCAGCAAAAATAATCTGAGGTAGGTTGATTTTAATATTGTTTTCAAAACAATGTAACCACCAAAGATCTAAGGCTCTAAGAGTAGAATAACAACCTCTGGATGGTCAAAACCACTAAGAAATTATTAGATGAAGAAAACATTCATGAAGGTCTAGGACACTTGCACTATCCCTTCTTTTATAACGAGATCTTAAAACCTGTTTTTCATTTGAAATACCATCATTATCTAATCCGAATGTATTGGCTATGTAAGCCGAGTCAATATATAAGAATTGTCCTAGAAGGTAGGAACGAATTCCTATGGTTTTGGTTTTATTTTGGTATTTAACACAAACGGAATTAGAATAGAAAATACGAACAAGTTGATGGTAAACGATGGGTTCAAGGTCAAAGAGTTTATCAAATTTCCACTCTTGTAAAAGAGGAAGATATTTAAAATTGATAGGTAACATAGCTTGACGAGAAGGAATACGTTCTTCCCGGATTTTGTAAGAGTCGAAATATTGATAATACCAAAAACGATGATTTCTAGGACCAGGATGATTGAAACACGAATTTTGGATAGTCAAATTAGGATCAATGGGATTAGGATTAGAAATTGGAATAGAAAGAGGATTTGGAGGTGGATTTGGTTGACGGTGTGAACGACTAGATGAAGACCTAGCACGTTTAGGATTGGACATGGTTTAGGAAATCAGAATAGAATTGATAACCTGCAATTTAGAAAACACATGTATGTAATTTAATCAATCCCAAAACTCAATTGAGTCCTCAATATTTCAAGGTTCTCTAAATCAATCCTAATGGGCAATGTTTTTGAAAAACTTTTGAAAAATATGGTTTTGAGAAACAATATATGTATAGTTTTTATAATAACAACATAATTTAATCAAAACACAATAATTTGAAAATTAATTTTTTTTATTTCAAAAATTTAGAAAATTTAAAAAAAATCTTGTGTTTTTGATGAAATTAGTTGTAATATCTAGTTTCTAATCACTAAATAATCAATGCTCGATCAACAATTCAACCTAGAACTAATTAAAACTAGTTCTATGTTCATATATTTGAAATGAATTCCGATTAAAAACATTGATTTGAGGCAAAAATGGAGATTTGAGTGCTTAGAGGGTGAGAAACGGTGGAAGGAAGAAAATAGAGGGTTTTTGAGGATTTTGAAGGGTTTTGCCCGTGTATAACCAGAACCCCAGGGAGGTATCGATTCCCCTATGGGGGGAATCGGTTCCCCTTCAAAGGGGCAATCGGTTCCCTCAAGGGGGGATCGATTCCCTCTGCACCAAAATGCTAAAATCCGATTTTAAACACCCAAAATGCTAAATTAATTTCCTCTAGTGGTATTGGCAACTCATATATTAAAAATTAATCATGTTCAAACAATTCAATTAATCTTTAAACGATATTTGAACATAAAATTAATTTTTCATCAAGAATCATAAACTCCCCCTAACTAATAGCAATGAATGCAATAAAAAATTACTATTATAAGCATTTTTCATTTATTATTAAAAGTGCTAAAATTATTTTAAACACTCAGTGAAGATAGATTGGTCAAACCTAATTCTCTCCTAAGTGTCCAAAATCGTTCCTTGTCTAAAGGATATCCGCTAATTGGTGCAAAGTATCAACAAATTCTAGAACTACATCTTCCTTAGTGACATGGTCTCTAATGAAGTGATGTCTTATTTCAATGTGCTTAGTTCTAGAGTGTTGGATGGGATTTTTAGTGAGACAAATAGCACTAGTATTGTCACACTTGATAGGAATGGTACCTACTTCAATTCCATAATCAAAAATTTGTTGTTTCATCCATAAAACTTGTGCACAACAACTACCAGCTGAAATGTATTCTGCTTCAGTGGTAGATAACGCAACACAATTTTGTTTCTTTGAAAACCAAGAAATTAGCATATTTCCAAGGAATTGGCAAGTACCGGAGGTGCTTTTCCTATCTAATTTGCATCCTCCATAATCCGCATCAGAAAAAGCATGCAAGCTAAAGCTAGAGTCTCTAGGATACCAAAGTCCTAAACTAGGAGTGTCTTTAAGGTATCTAAAGATTCTCTTAACAGCTAGTAAATGTGATTCCTTAGGACATGATTGAAATCTAGCACATAAGAAAACACTAAACATAATATCCGGTCTACTTGCAGTTAGATAAAGTAGAGATCCAATCATTGACCTATATAATTTAACATCTACACATTTACCTCCTTCATCTAAGTCAAGCTTTGTTGAAGAGCTCATTGGAGTGTCATGAGGTTTCCTATTTTCCAGTCCAAACTTCTTGAGCATATCTTTGACGTACTTATCTTGATTGATGAAGATGCCATCTTTTCTTTGCTTGATTTGGAGTCCCAAGAAAAATGAGAGCTCCCCCATCATGCTCATCTCAAACTCACTTTGCATTAGCTTAGAAAATTCTTGGCAAAGAACATCATTAGTAGAACCAAATATTATATCATCAACATAAATTTGAACTACTAATAAATCTTTACCTTTATGCTTCAAAAACAATGTGGTGTCAACCTTCCCTTTTGAAAAACCTTTTTCAATTAAAAAATTTGACAATCTTTCATACCAAGCTCTAGGAGCTTGCTTTAAACCATAAAGAGCTTTTGTCAATTTTAAAACATGATCCGGAAAATTTGAATCTTCAAAACCTGGAGGTTGTTCCACACACACTTCTTCTTTTATAAAACCATTTAAAAATGCACTTTTAACATCCATTTGATATATTTTAAATTCATTGAAACATGCAAATGCTAATAACATTCTAATTGCTTCCATCCTAGCTACGGGAGCGTATGTTTCATCGTAGTCTATGCCCTCTTCTTGAGTATACCCTTGAGCAACAAGTCTAGCCTTGTTTCTCACTATATTACCACTCTCATCAAGCTTATTCCTAAATACCCATCTAGTACCTACAATAGATTTATTACTAGGCCTTTCAACTAATGTCCATGCTTTACTTCTCTCAAATTGATTTAACTCTTCTTGCATAGCCATAATCCAATGTTCATCATTTAACGCTTCTTTAATATTCTTAGGCTCTATGCATGAGATAAATGCAACATAATTACAAATATTTCTAAGAGAAGATCGAGTTGTTACCCCTTTTGATGGATCACCTATAATTTCACCATCCTTGACATAGTTGTACTCTCTTGGATAAGATACTTCCCTTTCTTCAATGGTTGGATTCTCAAGAGGACCATGAGTTTCCTCATTTTTCGTTTCTTAATTTGATGATGGTTCTCCAACGTCATGTCTAACGTCATTTGTATTTATGACACCTACATCATCATTCACACAAGAATCCTTCCTCGGAAGGGGATTATCATCGAAAACAACATGTATAGACTCTTCTACAACTAAAGTTCTTTTATTAAATACACGATAGGCTATAGAATTTAAGGAATAACCCAGAAAAATTCCTTCATCACTTTTAGCATCAAATTTGCCAAGGTTT